GTCCATCTGTATCCTAAATGGAAACAAATTAGATACAATGTTTCAACCGCTGTAAAATGAAAGAACTGTCAGGAGAACTGTCAGAGAACTGTCAGAAATAGCGGGAGCTCTCTGCAGTGACACTTTTGCCGGCTGATCGGGGGAAAAATTCGATTCGTGCATCCGAAGTTGGCTAAAATTCGGATTCGATGCGAATGAATTTTTCCTAATATTCGAAACGAATTCCACTTCGCCAAGTTCGATTCGGCTCATCTCTAATTATAACCTTCGAGCTTATTATGAGCTTTGCAAAAGCATGTGACGTAAGATGCAACCAGAAATGACGTGGAAGCTGTGGCCCCACTGTCTGTATATGTACAAAGCAATCTTCTTTTTATATTATTGTAAGTGTAAGTATTTTGAATAAATGTATTTTTTATTATACTTAATACACCATGAGGGGTCCCATTGTTATATGAGTCTGCATTCATTTCTATTTCTGTATTACTTTGTTGCCTATCTTCATGTGAAACTGATGTGGAATTTCCCTCACTTAAAAGCATTTGTGTTAGTTCATGAAATTTTGAACAAACTGACGTTTCATCTGTAATTCCTTCTGATTCCATTATTTGCCTATTAGCTGTGGTGATTTTTCCTGTTTTACTCTGGTCAAGGTGATTAAAGAAATGCCTGACATTTGTCATGTGACTCATAGCTCCTGAATCAACACACCATGCCTGGAAGGATCAGGTGCAACTTTTGGATTGAAAAAACATATTCAATATCTGAAGAAAAATCTGTTTCTTCCATCACACTTTTGGCCTTTTGTAGTTCAGTTTGTTTTTTTAATTCTAACTTTCCAGATTCTGCAATCTGCTTTTAAATGACCTTATTTTTAGCACACTAAAGCATTTGCATGTTTCTTGTTGCATGTTACTGTTTTCATTACTATTTTTCGTCTTTAAAGCAGACTTTGCAACAGAAGTACTGTCCCTATTAATGCTTTCTGTTTTATGCTTATATTCATCCACAAGCTTTCCCTTAATATATTCCAATGTCAGTCTTCATCTGGACGTTCATCAAGTGCCGTGATAAGCTGACAAGCATTCCATAACTTTCTGGTAAACCTCTAAGTAATATTGCTGTGACATGAAAATCTTTTATTTCTTCCCCCACACCTCTCAGGCATTTCCAAAGTGTGCCTTATGTAATCCTGCATATCCTGGCCTTTCCATCAGCTTGGTTTGGTATCATTTTCTAATCAAATACAGTTTATTTCTGAGATTAGCTCTTTCATGCAACTTTTGTAATTATTCCCACATTTCTTTAGCAGTTTCACACTTACATATATGTATGATTTGATCATCTTTTATGCTAAGAAAAATTGTGCTCTGAGTTTTCTGGTCTATCTCTATTCACTCATCTAGAGGGTGTTCCAGCCTGACTTCATTTATACATTTCCAGGTACCTTCTCTTATTAACAACATTTTCCACTTGGATTTCCAAGACTGGTAGTTCTGGTTTGTTAGATTTGCAAATGAAAGCTGTGTTTGGCCATTTTGTTGCAGTCTTCTTTCTGTTGCTATAGCTTGCACTTGTTTGTTGCAGCAGGCTATGACTGGGTGTCTGGGCCCATAACCTGTTAGAGATTTTGTATATAGCCCTATAGAAAATACACTGCACAGGCCACATATTATCTGCTGCTTCTCTGCAAACATGAAACTGAACTTTTATTGCAGAGAAAAGAAATACAGTTCTATCATAGATGCAACTACAAATCTATAAACACTGCCATCCACTGGAATATGAATAATGAATAAGAATATATTTCCACTAAATAGTGATACTGATGAACATTGTATTCCAATAAAATCAAATAAACAAATGCTGCCTTTTAATTTAGTAATTATATTCTGTTATAGCGCATAACCAATAGTAGTCCCAGGAGTGGCAGCAACCGGGCTAAGTAGGAAATATGTCCGTAAGGAGTATATTGTATTCAGTAGTTAGCCACAAACTCTTTAGAGCAATTTCTCAGCAGATAGAAGGATTATCTGTAATAGAACAGAGAAACACAAGAAGGAGCTTCTAAGTGCAGCAATACAGCAATAAGACATATCCCATCTATGCCCCCGGCATCTGAGGTCATTACAGAGGTTCCCACGCTGTCAGATTACAGTCAATATGGCTCCAGTGCCTGTGTTTCCATCCTATATCAGCAGCTCAGTGTTCACTGCTTGGCTATATGTCTGTTCTGCCTGGGACAACAGAAGATGGCTTTGTGTTTACATGATATGTACATATTTACTTGACTACGTGTAAGTGACATTTACATTTTTATTAATAAACTTGTCTTATTGCTACACTTAGAAGCACCATCTTGTGTTTCTCTGCATATTCATTTATCCCACAATTTTATAGTGTATTTCCACCTTTGCAGGCAAATCGAGATAAAACCTGCTTTATAGATGTTCCCATTCACACAGATTTGTGCTTATTATTTTACTAGCACTTATTTGAAAAATATGAAAAGCTTTTAAGCTAATCTGTATCTAAATGTATTCTGAACAATATAAGTTGCCTATTTTTGTATTATTTTAGGTATGATATCAATCTGGAGGTGAGAGTTTTTGAGCACAGAGGTGGCATTTTATTGTGTGATATTGACAAGCACAATGTTTATGATTTGGGTGTTGGATAATCACCATTACAGTGTGGGATTTATGGACTGATTTAGATGCACCATATATTATTAATTTATTGGTTTTACGCATAATTAATGCTTTTTAGTTTTGTATTTTATTTATGTCACAACTGGTAATTTACATGGTTAATTTATATGTACTCTAGAGATATATACATGGTCATACATTGGTAGCAACACAGAATAACACACTACACTTTTACTACCTACTATTACACTGCTATTACATGTGAAAATACTTCAACCCTATTGGGAAGAAAAGTATGTGTTAACTTTCCAGTTCTAAAAACTATTGCTTTGGAGAGCCCAAAGGTACCTAAAAAAAAGCAGGAACTTCTCAGGCCTTCTTGAGAAAATCCTTTACTTTGATACAACCAATAAATTCTAAACCGTTGCAAGCTTTAAAAGAAGAAACACAAAAGGTTTCTTTTTATCAGCAATCAAGGTGGACAAGAAAGTGGTCTACTCAGAAAAGCTTGGGGCCTGAGCATACAGGTATTTTGACTACTGAATCAGTCACTATCAATTGCCAATTACCTAATTATGTCAGGCCACAGACAAGGGGCGGACTGACCCATTTGGGAACTCGGGCACTGCCCGAGGGCCCTGGGTCAGTAGGGGGCCCCATGAGATGCCCCTGGTACCTTTTTCATAGGCTTTTTTGGGTGTGGGTGAGGACACAGGGGCCCCATGATCCCCTATTGCCCGGGGGCCCCATGAGTTGTCAGTCCGCCCCTGGTCACAGAGCTGTTATTTGACAGGTTTGCAGATACAAAATGCTAAAGAATCTACAAAGAGCTCATCAAACCATTCAGTCACTCCAAAGCTACTGCGAAAATAATAATGTATTGGCTTAGTATTTCTGAAATGTTTGTCAAGATACTGAACAGGCAACTGAAAAGTACATTAAATGGTGAAAAATTCAATGTCTGTCAGGAAAGCTGAACAGCTTACCAAAAAAGACATGGTAGCAACATAATATTCTATGATTACTTCTAAGATAAACATGTCATTCCATAATTTCAAATTTAAATCTTTGTTGCAAGTATTAACTGTTCTCAGATTTCAACAAAATCTCAGAATCCCATGGGTCCAGGACAGAACATACAGGCACTGTCACACAGAGTGATCTTCTACCTGACAGTGCTTGCATTGCAGTGCTGCTGTCATTAATCAGACACAGAAGTCAGCATGGGACAGGGAGCCTGTTTTTTCTGATACTGTATGTATAAGCCACTAAACACCAATGTAAGGGCTGAGCTCTCCCTGATACCAATGTAAGGGAATTAGCTCCCATTGACACCACAACTGGTGGGATTTTTTTAAAATATATTCTTACTGTCATTAATGTTGGAGTGATGTTTTGTTTTTTTTTTTTAGATAATATTGGTATTTTTTTCACAGAAGCATGACTTGACTTCATGATAAAAATAGTGACAAAAGAGGGACCCCCTAATGTTTGGGACTTTAAAGGCTTAATTTGTACCACAAAATTATTTTAAAAAGTACAAATGTTTTATTTGTCAAAAAAATTGTTGTAACACATACGGTAGACATACAATACAATACATCATTCAAAGTCATAGTTCAGCATCAAAATCAGAATATGAAATTACATGGGAAGCAACTAAAACCTAAATATTCATATTTTTTTTTAAATCCAACTTGATTGACATCAGTGGTGGGAGTATTTTTAACCCACTAACACCAAGGTGTGCATGTTCCAGGACATTCTTAATGTGGTTGTAGTCTGCATCGAGTCCATCCCCAAGCGCAGGAGCATTTGTGTTTGCTGGTTCTGTCTGTGTTCACTCTGCATAAACTGAGCAGACACAGATGTGTAATCCATCTGCACTGCTCTGATCAGCAGGTAATCTGTGAGCGGGTGTTCTGATGTTTGGGACAGAGTCCGGCCCGTCTGAAAGGGGCCTAACTTTTTTAATGCAACTCATCTAATTTCTTTTAAACCAGTACTGTATTTTTCGCTGCATAAGATGCACTTTTTTCCCCCCAAAAAAGGGGGGAAAATGTCAGTGCGTCTTATGAAGCGAATATGGAGTGGCCGGTCCAGTATTTCCGCCGCCGCCACGATGTCAGAATACCGGGCCAGCCGCTCAGCTCTTCTCTGCAGCAGGACCTTACCTGTTCCTCGGTCCAGCAGTGTGCAGTCTTCCCGTGCCGGCATCTTTAGTGTGGGAACCCGACTGTGACAGCCGGGTGCCCACTGCGCATGCGCGAGAAGCGATGCGTTTTGTGAATGATCCGGCATCTTCTGGGACACATGACAGGTCCCAGAAGATGCCGGGCATTCACAAAGCGCAGCTCTTCTTGCGCATGTGCAGTAGGCAGCCGGGTGCCCACACTAAAGGGAGGACAACTCCGCAGAAGTGGGAGTGGGTACCTGTCAAATTCAGGTACCCGCTCCCCCTTCCTCCCCAAAGGTCAGCAGTCTCTTGGTCATCCCTGTACTGTCTGCAGGCTCTGGTCATCCCCTGTACTGTCTGCAGTCTCTGGTCATCAGTACTGTGTGCGCAGTCTGTGGTCATCCCATGTTCTGTATGCAGTCTCTGGTCATCTGTACTGTGTCGGCAGTCTCTGGTCATCCCCTGTACTGTCTGCAGTCTCTGGTCATCTCCTGTACTGTCTGCAGTCTCTGGTCATCTGTACTGTGTCCGCAGTCTCTGGTCATCCCCTGTACTGTGTCCACAGTCTCTGGTCATCCTCTGTACTATGTCCACAGTCTCTGGTCATCTCTGTACTGTCTGCAGTCTCTGGTCATCTGTACTGTGTCCGCAGTCTCTGGTCATCCCCTGTACTGTGTCCGCAGTCTCTGGTCATCCTCTGTACTATGTCCACAGTCTCTGGTCATCTCCTCTACTGTCTGCAGTCTCTGGTCATCCCCTGTACTGTGTCCGCAGTCTCTGGTCATCCCTGTACTTGTCCACAGTCTCTGGTCATCCCCTCTACTGTCAGTCCTGGTCTCTCCCTACTGTGTCCTCAGTCTCTGGTCATCTCCTCTACTGTCCTCAGTCTCTGGTCATCTCCTGTACTGTGTCCGCAGTTTCTGGTCATCTCCTGTACTATGTCTACAAAATATTTTTTTCTTGTTTTTCTCCTCTAAAACCTAGGTGCATCTTATGGTCAGGTGAGTCTTATGGAGCAAAAAATACGGTACTTTTTATTAAGGAAATAAAGTGTATGCAATTTGTAGATGTCCACAAAACAGCAATCCATCTTTAAGGTAGCCTGAGATAAAGCATTCGCTCTAGGTCTATATTCTTTGTACAAAAAAACATACAGTGCTCAGCATAAATGAGTACACCCCAACAGATTGGTAAGAAAACCTTTACTTTCCTTTCAGAATCAAAATGTTCTATGGGACACTATACTACAAAATACTCCCACAAATGCAGGCCATTGATTGCAAACAAGATTTGTTAATTTGCACACAAAAAAAAAGTAATTTTCATAACAAATTCATTCAAGGCCATGTTGCAAAAATGAAGACACCCCAATGAAAGTCTTAGGAGCAAAGCTAAATTTTAGATATCAAAATCCTAATTAACAAGAATTCAACTACAGGTCAGTCTAATTATTCATTAAACAGGTGTCCAGCAGACAGTTGATTATAAAAGGGATTTAATTAACAAATTAAAACCCATCCCATTTCATGCTGTCAGCAATGGCACCGCATGGCAGAGAAATGTCACAAGGCCTGAGAGAGAAAATAATTTCTTTACACAAGAAAGGTGAAGGCTACAAGAAGAATAGCAAAGCTTTACTTATCAGTCAGAATACTGTAGCAAAAGGGATACAAAAATGTAACAAAGGTAGAACTGCAACCATCTCACAGAGTTTTCTGATGAGAAGAGTTGAAGAAATCACCGTGCAAGTTCACTACAGTTAGCTAAAGAAGTAGAAAGCCAAACTGGGGGTGATTGTTTCCTGTGACACAATACGGTGTAGACTGCAGAGGAATGGCATGCATAGGTATCATCCACGAAGGAAGCTTCTTCTAAAGCCCATGCAGAAAAAAGCTGTCTAGAATTTGCCAGGGCCCATGCCGAAAAAAGAAGACTAATGGGACTCTGTACTCTGGAGTGATGAGACCAAGATAGGCCCAGACTGGCCATAGACCATAGAGCTGTCTCTTTGCTGGACGGGGCTGTCTCTTTGCTGGATGGGCTGTCTCCTTGCTGAACGGGCTGTCTCTTTGCTGGATGGGCAGGATGTCTCTTTGCTGAACAGGAAATCCCTTTGCTGAACAGGCTGTCTTTTTGCTGAACAGGCTCTTTGCTGGATTGGCTGTCTCTTTGCTGAATGGGCTGTCACTTTGCTGGGAGAGCTGTCACTTTGCTGGGAGAGCTGTCTCTTTGCTGACTAAGCTGTCTCTTTGCTGAACGGCTGTCTTTTGCTGGATGCACAGGATGTCTCTTTGCTTGACAGGATATTCCTTTGCTGAGCAGGCTGTCACTTTGCTAGACAGGCTGTCTCCTTCCCAAACAGGCTGTCTTTTTACTGGTTGAGCTGTCTCTGCTGGATGGGCTGGCTATCTCTGTGATAGATGGGCTATGTCTTTGCTGGGCAGGATGTCTCTTTGCTGGATGAGCTGTCTCTTTGCTGGATGAGCTGTCTCTTTGCTGGATGGGCTGTCTCTTTGCTGGACAGGCTGTCTCTTTGCTGAATGGGCTGTCTCTTTGCTGGACGGGCTGTCTCTTTGTTGAATGGGCTGTCTCTTTGCCGAACAGGCTGTCTCTTTCTTGGGTGGGCTGTCTCTTTGCTGGATGGGCTGTCTCTTTGCTGGATGGGCTGTCTCTTTGCTCAACGGGCTGTCTCTTTGCTGGATGGACTGTCTCTTTGCTGGATGTGCAGGATGTCTCTTTGCTGAACAGTTGTCTCTTTGCTGGACAGGATGTCTCTTTGCTCAATGGGCTGTCTCTTTACTGGATAGGCTGTCTCTTTACTGGATAAAATCTATAAAATGCAGCGCTGAAATTATATTGACCATCAAGTGCAGGCAGAATGTTAAAAATAAATTGTTCTTTCATAAAACAAATTAGAAGTCCTGTTAATGAAAAAACGTTCCAGACTTGCAAAGGTCAAGGTGATGTAATTAGAGATGAGCGAATCGAACTTGGCGAAGTGGAATTCGTTTCGAATATTAGGAAAAATTCGATTCGCACCGAATCCAAAAATTAGCAAACTTCGGATGCACGAATCGAATTTTTCCCGATCGGCCGATTTTCATCCCTTCAACAGCCGGCAAAAAGTGTCACTGCAGAGAGCTCCGCTATTTCTGACAGTTCTCTGACAGTTCCTTCACATTTACAGCGGTTGAAACATTGTATCTATTTGTTTCCATTTAGGATACAGATGTTTTTATTCGGAAACAAATAGATACAATGTTTCAACCGCTGTAAATGTGAAGGAACTGTCAGAGAACTGTCAGAAATAGCGGAGCTCTCTGCAGATACACTTTTTGCTGTACTGGAATTCTTCTTATTTTCATCCTACTTCTTCTTCTTCTTCTTCATCCTCATCCTCTTCTTCTTCTTCATCCTCATTCTCTTCTTCTTCTTCTTCATCCTCATCTCATCTTCTTCTCTTCTTCTTCTTCATCCTCATCTTCTTCTTCTTCTTCTTCTTCTTGTTCTTCTTCATCCTCTTCTTCTTCTTCCTCATCCTCATCTTTCTTCTTCTTCTTCATCTTCTTCTTCTTCATCTTCTTCTTCTTCTGCTTCTTCATCTTCTTCCTCTTCTTCTTCATCTTCATCTTCTTCTTCATTCTTCTTCTCATCTTCTTCTTCTTCATCTCATCTTCTTCTTCATCCTCATCTTCTTCTTCTTCATCCTCCTTCTTCTTCTTCCTCATCCTCATCCTCTTCTTCTTCTTCTTCTTCTTCTTCTTCTTCATCTTCTTCTTCATCTTCTTCTTCTTCTTCTTCTTCTTTCTTCATCACTTCTTCTTCATCATCTTCTTCTTCATCATCTTCTTCTTCATCATCTTCTTCATCTTCTTCATCATCATCTTCTTCATCATCTTCATCTTCTTCTTCTTCATCCTCATCTTCTTCTTCTTCCTCTTCATCCTCATCCTCTTCTCTTCCTCTCATCTTCTTCTTCATCTTCTTCTTCTTCTTCATCTTCTTTCTTCATCATCTTCTTCTTCATCATCTTCTTCTTCATCATCATCTTCTTCATCATCTTCTTCTTCTTCTTCTTCATCTTCTTCTTCTTCATCTTCTTCTTCATCATCTTCTTCTTCATCTTCTTCGTCGTGCCCCGTGACTGCCCAAATGAGTGAAGTGTGCGGTGATTCTAAGATGGACGGCACTCATCTGCATGTCATACTGACTGACAGTATTATTTCTCTTCCCCAGCAGACTCCAAGGGCATTTAAATTAAAGGTACAGTGTTCTGCACTAATATAAAGGCTCTCTGAAGCCTAGAAACCCTTTTAATAAGTTAAATTCGCAGCGAATAAATTCGCATCGAATCGAATTTATTCCGCAAATTCGGCGAATCAGCCGAATCGAATTTTTGAATAATTCGCTCATCTCTAGATGTAATACACGCCTGGTTACTCCATATGGTGATAGTACAATAATGCACTTACCAGAAGTACATACAAACTGGGCGTTGTATGTAAAATGATCCGTGGAGACTTCAGGGTCTGGTCATCAGAATGGTGTCATCTAGGGCTTGCAGCAGACTCCCAGGGATGGTGTCACTCACACTTGGGGGTCATCATAAGCTCACCAGAAGGTCCACCGCCGTTCAGACTCCAGGATCTACTCCTCCCCATTTAATTTCATTGTGGTTACCAAATCACTTAAGTGGCCCTCGCTCTTCAAAAGGTTGAGCACTCCTGCAGCTTTCTCAAACCGCTCCATAAGAGTCTGAACGGCGGTGGACCTTCTGGTGAGCTTATGATGACCCCCAAGTGTGAGTGACACCATCCCTGGGAGTCTGCTGCAAGCCCTAGATGACACCATTCTGATGACCAGACCCTGAAGTCTCCACGGATCATTTTACATACAACGCCCAGTTTGTATGTACTTCTGGTAAGTGCATTATTGTACTATCACCATATGGAGTAACCAGGAGTGTATTACATCACCTTGACCTTTGCAAGTCTGGAACGTTTTTTCATTAACAGGACTTCTAATTTGTTTTATGAAAGAACAATTTATTTTTAACATTCTGCCTGCACTTGATGGTCAATATAATTTCAGCGCTGCATTTTATAGATTTTATACATTACTGAAGTGCCGAGGTATGCCTTTTATGCTAGCAGCTCCCTATTAGTTTGTCCTTTATCTAACCTGCATTTAGTTGTGTGAAGTTGCGCTCTTTCATTTTTGTTTATCTTTACTGGATAGGCTGTCTCTTTGCTGGTTGAGCTCTTTGCTGGATGGGCTGTCTCTTTACTGGTTAAACTGTGTCTTTGCTGGACGAGCTGTCTCTGTGCTGGACAGGCTGTCTCTGTGCTGGACAAGCTGTGTCTTTGCTGTATGAGCTGTGTCTTTGCTGGACAGGATGTCTCTTTGCTAGACGAGCTGTCTCTTTGCTGCACGGGCTGTCTCTTTGCTGGTTGGGGTGTCTCTTTGCTATATGGGTACATCTGTCTGCTTGATTGGGATGTCTCTCTGCTATATTGGGATGTCTCTTTGTTGG